CTGGCTAATTTACAAGCTGTCTATTGAATTCAAAAGTTAGCTGCACTTTTAAGAAAGGTGGTTGATGAATTTATAGATCAGTTGGTTGATTAATTTATAGATCAGCTGGTTGACGAATTTATAGATCAGCTGGTTGTTAAATTTATAGATCATTTGGTTGTTGAATTTATAGAGCAGCTGGTTGTTGAATTTATAGATCAGCTGGTTGTTGAATTTATAGATCAGTTTGTTGTTGAATTTTTATATCAGTTGGTTGTTGAATTTAGACAGCAGGTTGTTGAACGTATAAATCGGCTGGTTGGTAAATGTCTAGTCGGTTGGTTGGTAAATGTATCAGTCATCTAACTGGTAAATTAAAAAAAAAATTTTGGGGTTATGAGTGTATATTCAGCGTGTTGGTAAAAGTATAGATCAGCGTTGATAATTGTATAGTCAGCTGGTTGATAAATGTATAGTCGGCTGGATGGTTAATGTATAGTCAGCTGGTTGGTATTTCCTAGGCTGAATACTTGAATACACGTTGCTGCCTTTGTTGAGACACTACCTGACCGCAGTTTTCTAGTGTCATTTGTTGAGGACGCCATCAACTTCCACTTCTACCGTTGGTCGTTATGGGGAAGATCCGCTGGCGGCCCGTCGCTCAGTGGGAAGAAGTGTGCATTGTCATGTTTGCATGGATATATTTTACCCTGGGAGTAGTCCTGGTGTGGCGTCTAGACGCTTGACTGCGGATCAAAGTTCGTGGGTTCGAGTCCTGACGGAGAACTTTTCTTCCTTCTCCAAATATTGACCGTGTCTTCCAGGTCAACCCAGTCTTGAGCGGGTATCAGGTGCAGTCCTGGGAAGTAAAAGCGGTCGTTGGCGGGATGTTGACCACATCACAGAAGATAGATCTAGCCCTATATGCGCAGTACGTCTAAATACAAGCAAAAGGGTACTTAACTTACTATTCCCCCCTCCCCTTATAGGATTGCATTAAACACACTAAGCCCGTGTTTAGGGCATCGCGAAGGGAAGGGGCATGACATAAATTTGCAAGTCTTGAAACTGAGCGTTATTTTCGGCTGATGAATATAAAAACATCCCATAAGAACAACACTGCAACATGGGAGGCTTGGTGCCTTGTCTTTAAGTATAGAAGCACGTGTGATTTAGGATCAAAGCAAACACTTCCCATTTCTTATTTCCTCTATCCTGGAATGTCTCACGGCGTTAGGGCAGGAAGAGATCTCTGGAACTTACATTTCTGTTCGCTTTTTATAAAATACCTTTTAGTGTCTCTAATATTTATGTGGTCCATCTTCAGCGGGGTCGGCCACTGGCTCTGTTACCGCTGTATCTGTATAATTGGTCTTTGTGGTGCCCTGTCTGATGCCAGTCTTGCTACATGACCAAGAAATTTGATTTGTTTACCTATAAAGTTCAATATTGGTTCTTTGCCGACTCTTCTCCTGATATCATCGTTCCTGTCTTTTCTCGTTACACACAGCATAGTACGTAAACAAAAGGGAACAACAAAATGTTTTAAACATAAAGTGGGGTAGTAGTATAAAAAAAAAAAGTTATTTTCCAGCTTTTTGCAAGCTTTTTTTCATTTCTATAAATAAAGGTTGTTTTATGATGTATTATTGATGTGTGTGTGCGTGTGTGTGTGTGACTTAAATTACATATATATGGGAGCACCAGTGCTGTCTTAACACATAAGCATGCAGGGCAGTTGACCCGGGGCCACACACACGTACACACACACACACACACACACACCCCCACACACATATGGGCCCCATTTTAATGTGTACGTCTCAATCGACAATCTACATTTCATTCCTGTGGGTGTTTGTGGGGCCTCAGCGCACTGCTTTGCCTAGGGGCCTATAATGTGGTTCAAACGGCTCGAAAGGGGCAAAAAAAGGGAGAGGGGGGGGGGCGTTGGCACCAAAATGTATTTAGTGCTTTGGGAATAAGTTTTCAAAAACTGCAAATTACTGCCTTTTTTTAAAACTGTTGCGGTGTAGGTGAGGGGTGGGGGGGGGGGGTGGGTTTGAGCATTAGGATTTTAGCCGCATGGCTAGTGCTGTCGCCACGACTGTGCAGGTTTAAAAAAAAATTGATTTTTTTTTTGTCGCTAACAAAACAAAATTACCAGCCTTACTGAGGATTCGAACCCAGGTCTCAAGAGTCTAAAACCAGCCGTATATCGGAAGTTATTGCCAAGGGTGGAACAGAATATAGACTGCGAACTCTTTGTAACATCTAAAGGCACAATAGGACAAAGAAAAAGAAAAAAATAAAGAACAATGGAACTCTTTTCACAGCTTTTGTCTTCTGTCAGTAGAAACCAAAATAGCAGTCTTGACATTCCCCCTCCCTCCCCCAACACCCTCTCCCCCAACCCCCTCCCTCCCCCAACCCCAACCCCCTCCCTCCCCTCTTCCTTGCAGCTGCTGACCAGCTGAGTATCTCTTAAAAATTTACGGGGGGGGGTGAAGGGGGAGCAAAAGGGGGAGGGGGGGGGGAGAAAAAGAAATCGTTTCTTTCCCTATCTTGCCCGTCCCCTTCTCCCCATTATAATCTTATTTCTTAGTATATTTCATATTATATTTTTCTTATTATAACGCACTTAAATCAGGCTTAGACCCTCTGAGGATCCTTCAGAGCATTTGTAATGGAAGGGAGCAGGGGTTTGAGAGCAATGAGTCCCCCGTGTGGATTCCGGGACCCTATTGTGGGGAAAACAAGAACAGACCCACTGCCTACCCAAAAGCATGTCGTTAAGAGTCGACTAATTGGGAGCTTCATTCGAAGTCGGAGTGCATCTGCCTGAGAGGCAAGGAACCAGCAGTCTGCATATAAATGAGTCAGATCTGACCAACGGCTGCACACGCCACATTCAGGTTCTGGAACAGGACTGCAGTCCAGAAGTGGACGAACAACCAGAACTTTTCACCAGAGTTTACAGCTGGTGAACGCGAAGAAGAAGAGCAATGAGTTTCTTTTGCTTTTGTCTAAGTTGAGGCCTTTGCAAGCCACAGTAGCAGAGGAACTACATTCAACAAATACCTGTTACATCCCGCAGCAGATTTGTCTGTCCAGTGTGGAACTGCCCAGTCGACTGGCCATCCTTGACCCAGAATGTACAGCCTGTTCAACACCAAGTCCTTCTGGCCGCTGAGTCCAGCACCGCAAGGACAGGTCAGTGTGTCCTCCAGTATCTGTCACTGTTGGTAAAAGTCCCTTTTCCACGCCTTTAGGCCTATAGGGCTAGACCTATTTTTTTTCTAGTGTAATCGGCACAAGATGGGTGATGTGGTCAGCATCACGCCGGCCGCCTTCACTTCCCGGGACTGCACCCGGTACCTACTCCAGGCTGGGTCGACCAGGGAGTCAAGGTTATTTTTGAAAAAAGTCCGGCTCCGCCAGGGGCCAATCTGTCACTGTTGCTTGAGAATAATCCTTGATCTAGTCTGATTGTATTTGCAGCTCCCATTGTGGATTCTGAGCGCCATTCGGAGGGGGTCGAGGAATGTTGAATTAAAAAACATCACAGCACTCGGAACACTCCCATAAACGTTCCGTTCATATCTTCAGCAGCAAGCGAAGAGTTCAAATTCCGATAGAACCAGTAATGGTCTGATTGTATATCCGTCTCGCCTTTTCCTGAGCATTGAGCGTCGCCAAATCCCCTGGTAACTCTTCACAGCACCATTCTCCTCAGACTGTAATCATCTATTTGTGCCTCTGTACATTTCAGTCGCTCCCAAAGGGTTCCCACAACATCTAGCTTGTCATACATCCATTCACAACCAAGTGGTGCAGAACCTGCCACTATATATGCCTGCTCGTTTCCCAACACATTAATATTACCTGGAGAAAATATCCACAGGCCACTAACTACCCAGGACCTCTGAAGTGATGCTTGCCACTCTGCACGGAGCATGGGTGTCTCCTTCTTTCTCAACATACTCTGAATCAGTTACAATTACATGTGTGTACATATGCGAGGTGTGCGTGGGGCTGAAGAGAAATGATTCAATGCCCCTAAAAACATATATTCCCCTCCTCCTCCTCCTGTTACTTCTATTGATTTTCTCCTCCTAATCGAGCTTCCACTCCTGTTTCTCCCCCTCATTTTCCTGCTGCTGCTCCCTTCCCCCACTGCTCTCTTTATTCTCTCTCCCCTACTCCTGTCCCTTCAGCTGCTGATGTTTCTGCCAGCGTCTTTGTCAGGACCCCTTGTTTACAATTTCCCCTGTTAGGGATTGTCAGTACCCCTTGATTGTTTACAATTTCCCGTGTTAGGGATTGTCAGTACCCCTTGATTATTTACAATTTCCCGTGTTAGGGATTGTCAGTACCCCTTGATTGTTTACAATTTCCCGTGTTAGGGATTGTCAGTACCCCTTGATTATTTACAATTTCCCGTGTTAGTGATTGTCAGTACCCCGTGATTGTTTACAATTTTCCCTGTCAGTGATTTTCATACTCCCTTTAATGTTTTCTCTATTTCCCCTGTTAGTGATTTTCATACTCACTTGTTTGCAATTATCCTTGTTAGTGATTGTCTTACTCACTTGATTGATTACAATTTCGCCCGTTAGTGATTGCCATACACGCTTGATTGTTTACAATTTCCCGTGTTAGGGATTGTCAGTACCCCTTGATTATTTACAATTTCCCGTGTTAGGGATTGTCAGTACCCCTTGATTGTTTACAATTTCCCGTGTTAGGGATTGTCAGTCCCCCTTGATTATTTACAATTTCCCGTGTTAGTGATTGTCAGTACCCCTTGATTGTTTACAATTTTCCGTGTCAGTGATTGTCATACTCCCTTGATTGTTTTCAATTTCCCCTGTTAGTGATTGTTATACTCACATGTTCATAATTCCCCGTGTTAGTGATTGTCATACTCTCTTGTTTACGATTTCCCGTGTTAATGATTGTCAAAATGATTAATAAAACATTCACAGGTCTGTTATGAATCAACGCCTACTTCACCTTTTATGACGAATGCCCCGCCCAGTGCCAATCAAATGTATGCTCAGCCAGTATTCTTTCAACTGGACCCAGCTTGGTACACCCAGATGGCCCAGACCGCACCCTCCAGACCCCGCCTTCCATCAGACGATGTATTTTTCCCAGAAGGAGCCGTAACCTACGACGCTCCAGTTTACAGTTACTTCTTAACCAATCCGGAGCCACGCCCATACCACGTGACTAACCTTGGCCCTGCTGTTTCCAAGAAAAAAAAACCGCACCAGGACACCCGATTATTCCAGGAGCGGAATCAAAATTGTCAACCGAGGGGTTACTCGAGTTCTGCGGGATCGGTAACCACCGGGTATGACACCTCACCAGAGTCGGGTGTCAGATCCAAACGAGCAGCTCGCAGTATTGACAGTTTATCCATATCCAGCCACTCTTCCTCATCTAGCAACTCTAACAGTTCATCGCCGACCTCCCATCGCCACGACGATTCGTTACTTTACTCCCTGTTCCCAACGTCAATGAATGAAGATTCCACAGAATCCACAAGAACGACGCCCTTGAAGACTTCAAGTCCTATTGGCAACGAGAACACTTCTCAGCCACATCTAGACTACAGAAACGCGAGGAAACGAAGAGGGCGGTATATCACAAGTTCAAGTTCCGAGAAGTGTATACGATTCAGCGAAAATGGCATTACTGACGATCTTGACGAATGCGACAAAATCCTCATCAGAACCAGGGAAAATAAAACGGAAGATGACGCAGCCAGAAAAAGGGAGGAATTTTTGCTAATTCTTGAAGCAGAACGTGAAAGACAACGAAAACTGGTCTTGCCCAAACGGGCTCCAAAAATGAACTGTAAATTCTGCAGGAACAACGGAGAGAGTGAAGAAGTGTATACCAAACATAAACTACACTGCAACGAGAAGACTGTCTGTCCCATTCTGAGGCATTATGTTTGTAAATTATGTAACAGCACGGGAGACTTCGCTCATACAATCCGCCATTGTCCATTCAACGACAGAAAAGATAAAATTGCGTGGAAAGCCACTTTTCTTTTTGAATCAGCAGGTTAGCCTTGAATTTTTGACATTACATAATGATAATTCATTTAATGTTGCTTAAAGATCCACTCTACCATTTTAGTTTGTACCAGCCAGTATGATACATTGTTCTGGCTCTGAAGTCAGAAATGGTACCTAAGTCTTTTCAAACAAGGCTCTATATTCTAATTATATTTCAATAGAAACCTCAGTACTGACTTACTATTGAAACACGGTATTATATGCTGATTGTGTTTAATACAATTCAATCTTCGTTCCCATGCGGGACACATTTTTCACTATTTTGAAGCCTGACCCCGACTGTTGCCAGGGACCCTAATATAGCCTGACGGTTGAACGGGGTTTCTGAAACCTCGCCATGGCTGATCCTCATCAAAATAGTGGCACTTTGTGTCACCGGGTGTTTATCTCTGTCTGATGCCCTGGTGGGGTTAAAAGTCAGTCAGATTTGTGAACTTATTATCGGCCCTGAGGTTTTAGAGTAATTTCCCTTATACAAAATAACTCAAATTCACCTTTTTTTCTGTCCTGTAAAACCTTATTGACTCTTGAACATACTGAGAAACGGAAATAAGAATTAAGGGTTCGATATGCAGAGAGGGTGATCTGTCAACTTGTTTCTCTTTATGTCAATTATTTCACTTTAACTTTAATTCTACTCCCCCCCCCCCCCCCGGGCAGTATTCCTCTTTATTCTGTGATAAATTTACACCTGCATTATACATTTTGTTGTTGATTTAACTGGGCCAATGATTTTTCTACCCACGCCCGAACTTTGTTTACTTGGCAACCGTCGGGGATTTCCCATTTTAACCTTACGGTGGAATAGGGATTCTGGGAATTGTACCTGGTGTTTCTCATCTGAGTAGTGGCTCTTTGGGTCACCGGGTGTTATTCGCCTAGTATGCACGCGGTCCTAAAGGGGTTCAACTTTACTCACTCACGATTTAATTAAACAGTTTAGGAAACAAACATGGAATTTGTATCGCCATTTTTTTGCTCACTGAGGGTTATATTGAAAAAAGGAACCGGATTCTTTGTAGAATGCCTGGTTTGATGTTTCAGCGAAGGTGAGCTATCCACTAAGTAATAAGTAGAATATATTAAACCAGACGAACAGTAGATCACTTCAGCTTTACAGTATCACAAATGAATCAACGTTGCGTTTAGAGAGCCTTCATCAGCACATTAAACGCATCTACAATACCACAAGTTCGAACTAGAGCACACACAAATCACGTAACTGACGTGTCTCCGATAGAAATCACATTGCTGTTAGATCAGTAGAATGCCTGACATGTGTGTGAAATGGGAAGAAGTACTGGCCAGAAAAAGCTGCGAGGGACGGATTAGTTGTGTAAATCAACACAGAACGAGTGTCCCGCAGCCGTTATTCACTGGCGGGTGTAGTATCGGGGATCCAAACACTCATGGGTTAAAACAACACACACACTAACACTGGACTACAAATTACTTCGTATTGTTTTATGGTGCCTCACTATAACTGTTATGAGGCTATATGGTTAAACGGGATTTCCCGGATTTGTTGCTGGTGTTACTTCTATAGATTGCAATCCTGGGGGCGAAAACTATTACAAGAAGAATTGACTGAATGCTTTGATGTGTAGTTAGGATGTTTCTACCAATCAGTTATGCCTGCATCTGTAAGCTTAATCGGCACTCATAGAAAGAAGAAAAATAGGATGCAAAAAAACTTTAATTGGAATCGAATCTGTCATCTACAAATGGCGTGTTCGTGGAAACAAAGGTACTAAGAACATGACCAACTAGGCACTCCTAAAGATGTCATCATTGGCCGTGTTTATCGTACAACCTGAAATCCACAACTATGGGATACAGTGTCGGCCTGAAAGTCTGCCGTTTTGATTGAATCTAATATCGAACCCAGACATTTCAGTCGCCAGATACTGGAGATACAGGGCCCTTCTCTGCGAAGATGGATACAAGGCACCGAAGATACACTGGCTATGAAAGCACATAGGGCTGGAGAAACGGCTAGAGACAGAGACTGTCAGGCGTGATGTAAAGAGAGCGATGTTCTGCAAAGGACCTGAGATGATGATGATGACGATGATGACGACGATACCGATGATGATGACGATGATGATCATGATCATGATACCCAAGATGATACCCAGATACTCAACACCAGACAACAGGTTACACCCTAACCGGATTGTGATCTCCCGGTACAACTGATACATTACCCACGAAGTCACTACTGCACACAAAGTTGGTTGGAACTAAAAAGGAACTCATAAAAACAGTCAAGTTTATCACAAGAACCTCCCTGTCGGTGTAAATCAAAAAACGAACACAAGAAGAAGAAGAAGACTGCTGTATAGTTAGAAAGCAATGGCAAACACACGAACATGAAAATTGCCTAGTAAAATCAAACTGGCTAAGAATGCTGGTGTAGGTTTTGCAGAGTCTTCTAAAGGATATGAAACTTTTTTTTTTTTTTATGGCTACACTTGAACGGTTTTTTCTTTGATTCTCTCTTAAGATGTTATTCCCAGATTACCTACCTGCCAGACTAAAATTGGTACCAAGAAACGCCATGGGAAGTAAATGTGGCCGGCACAGTGTTGACCCACATCACCTGTTTAGTGTCTGTCTTTAAAAAGAAGGGTGAAAAACAACACATCTAGCATCAGAAGAGCAGCAGGGGGAGGAGAAGTAGAGGCAACAGGGAGGAGGAGCAGGTGCTGCAAAAGTAGGAGCGGAAGTAGCAGAATATATGCCCGATGTGCCTTTGACGGGAAAAAGGGGCCTTACTTGCATTTTCACCCTTACCCGGAGTTTGTCAAACGATAACATATTCTATTTTAGGTTGCTAGCCAGCTTTTTGCGAAATATCTGCTGTATTTGTGTAAACTTACCTTGTGTATAATTTTTTGGCCTGTTCCTGGTTTAAAAAAACGGTTAAAATAGTTGCTCTCCGTCAATTTCTACTGGGAACAGTCTTCCTAATTGTGCACATCCATCTCAGTATCAGGTTCAGCCTAAGTGACTAGATGCTTGCTTGCCACCCGAAGATCCAGGGTTCAAATTTGTATTGAGGCAGATTTTTTATTTTTCAGTCTTGAGCTCCCAAGTGGGACCAGAAGAAAATGTGTAAAGTACAGGATAATGTCATGGGAGGTAAAAGGCGGCCGACATAGTCTTGACCACATCGATCGAGTGCCAATCAATTCATAAATGCATGACGCACTAAAGACGCGAGCACTGATTATGTTTAGTTCTAGAAGGATATCGGCGTGGAGAAAATGTTGATCACATTTACAAAACTCCTGTTCATATTTTGAAAACTCTGATATTGTTGAAAACTCATGGTTATATTTGGGTAACTTACAGTCATGTTTGCCAAACATTTGATCATATTTGCAAAACCACTGTATTTTGAAAACCTATCATATTGTTGAAAACTCATGGTTATATTTTGAGAACTTACAGTCATACTTGACAAAAGTTTGATGATATTTGCAAAACTGCTGTTCACATTTTGAAAACTGATCAAATTGTTAAAAACTCATGGTTATATTTTGAAAACTTGTGGTCATATTTGCCAAAAGTTTGATCATATTTGCAAAACTGCTGTTCACATTTTGAAAACCGATCATATTATTGAAAACTCATGGTTATATTTTGAAAATTTATGGTCATATGTGCTAAACGTTTGATCATGTTTGCAAAACTCCTGTTGATATTTTGAAAATTCATTGTTATATTTTGAGAACTCAGTCATATTTTGAAAACTCATGGTCATATTTTGAAAACTCATGGTCATATTTTTCAGAAAATCATTCATAATTTTTTTGAGAAATTCATGGACTTTTTGTGAAGATGGGTACTTTTTTTTTTTCAAGTAACATTTTGGCAGTCTCAAAACAGTAATTGTATGCATTTGTGGAGTTGTTTGAATGTTGAATTAGGAATCGACATCATAGCAGTCCAAACTTTCTCTTAAGCGCCTCATTCCCATCCTCAGCAGCAAGGAAAGAGTTCCACCATTTCACGCTTTGACCCGCTCCTCACGCAGTGTTATGAAGACTGCACACATGTCTAATTGTCTTCAGCTTGCGCCATCCAAGATCAGGTTTTTTTTAGCTCCACCTAGGGCTTAGAGCAGTAGGCAGAGGTATGATAGTATTCAGGCTAACAGCAAGATAATCTGTAGAGATATCGTGTTCAGGCTAACAGCAACGTAATCTGTAGAGATATCGTGTTTAGGCTAACAGTAGGGTAATCTATAGAGATATCGTGTCCAGGCTAACAGAAAGGCTATCTGTAGAGATATCGTGTTCAGGCTAACAAGGCCATCTGTAGAGATATCGTGTTCAGGCTAACAAGGCCATCTGTAGAGATATCGTGTTCAGTCTAATGGAAAGGCAATCTGTAGAGATATCATGTTCAGTCTAATGGAAAGGCAGTCTGTATAGATATCGTGTTCATTCTAATGGAAAGGCCATCTGTAGAGATATCATGTTCAGTCTAATGGAAAGGCCATCTGTAGAGATATCATGTTCAATCTAATGGAAAGGCCATCTGTAGAGATATCCTGTTCAGTCTAATGGAAAGGCCATCTGTAGAGATATCGTGTTCGTGCTAACAAGGCCATCTGTAGAGGTATCTTCAGTCTAATGGAAAGGCCATCTGTAGAGATACCATGTTCAGTCTAATGGAAAGGCCATCTGTAGAGATATCGTGTTCAGTCTAACGGAAAGGCCATCTGTGGAGATATCATGTTCAGTCTAACGGAAAGGCCATCTGTGGAGATATCGTGTTCAGGCTAACAGTTATACAATCTGTAGAGGCATCATGTTCATAACTGTGAGCCCTCTGTGGGAAATATGCTATAGTGTTCAGGTTAACTGGCAGTAGAGTTTTCTTGTCGTTACTTAATGGAGGTAGCCCTTCTGGACATTGTTAGACTATATGAAGGTAACAAAATGCAGTTTTAATATTTGTGCACATTTCTGTTTTAACAT